AATTATTTTTTTATGAAACTGACAAAAATATTAAAATGAGTCATCAGTGCCGAAATGGAGAGAATATTTATTTTAATTTTAATTTTAATGTATCAAATATCTTTTTATTTTATTTTAATTCAATTTAATTTAATTTATTTTTAAAAAGAAAAAAAGAAAAACGAAAAGAGATATACGATGGAAAAGTAGATGTGAACATAGAGATTAGGTTGAGGATAAAAATGGCCAAGAATTTAAATAAGGGTTGAAAAGTCAAAGCATGAGTTGGCTGAGGCTCTCTACTGCTACTGCTATATACACTTATTAATAATAATAATAATAATAATAAGTGACAGAAGGACACTTCCTCACTTTTGACTATTTGACTTATTATACTCACTTGTCCCATAAACTGTAGACACGATATTTTTGTAGGAATATAATTAGTAGATAATTAAAAATTTATTAGTAAAAATAATTATCGTATAACATAAATAATTATAAATTAAGATTAAGATAATTAATTAGTTTAATTAAAATTTTAAAAAAAATAAATTAAAAGTTTAAAATGAGATTAAAGTGTAATCATTTTTCAAAAAAGAAAAGTGACATAAAATGTAGGACGAACAGAAACGACAACTTGGACATGGTATATGGGACGGAGAAAGTAATATTTTTATTTGTTTCGATGTTTTGTTTTTCTTCCTAGCAACAAAACATCATTTAATTGTAATTTATGAATATATTTGTGTATTTATAAGATAATAAATAATTCCTATTTTTAAAAAATTTAGAAATATAATTGAGATAAAAAATATATATATATATATATTGAAGAAATATTAGTAAATTATATAACTCATATTCTCCAGGCATGAAATTTAAATGAATTCTGTTAAGTAGGATAATTTATAAATTAAATAATGTGATAAGAAAAAATAGTAATTTTACTTTTATTCAGAACAATTATATTAATATTATAAATCAATGATATAAATTAAATCAATGATTTTTCATGGAGAGATAATTAATTTATAGATTTTGCTTATTATTAAAAATTATTATATTCTTATGTTAAAAAATTATCACCTTACTACTTACTTTTGTTTAATTTTTATTAAGAAAATAAAATATAATTAATTTTTTTTGAATGCTATCCCATGTTATTTTTTTATATTTTAAATAAATTATACATGAAACTGATGAAGTATCTCATTTTATTAGTTAATTTATAATTGTTTATTAGTAATTATGTGTTCATTTCGTGTTTCTTAGATTAATTTCTTTTTTCTAATGTTAGATATAAATAATTTGTAATACAAAAAATAAAATTTTATGTTAAATTATTTATTTTTTATGAATGAATATACTTTATATATATATATATAATATTTATGAGGAATCATGCTGCTAAAAAAAATAAATTGGGTGAACAAATTCAAATATTTACAACAAGCTAAAATTATATGTATACACTATATTTACAAGACATACATAATTATAACATATAGACATAAGACTATTAAAATAGCATTTTAATAAATAAAAATATTGTAATAACAACAGTGACCTTTGTTATAAATAAGTATCATATGAATAATAATAATAATTAGTAATAAAGGAAATTTAGCGGATGAACTAAAAACAAAATTTGACGACCACAAGAAATATTTCAAAATATGTACCTAAACATATACTCCTTTCGTCCCAAAAATATACTCTTATTGTGTTGGACACGAGATTTAAGGAATATTGATATTATATTGGTAATTGGTAAAAAATAAGGATAAATGATTTTTTTGCCCCTGTGAGTATATTAATGTAAAAAGTAGTGACAATTGTGTAATAATAATGAAAAAATATGAATAGTTTTATGGTGATATGATTATTTATGGAAATCAGACTATTATTTTGGAACATACAAAAATGGTAATAAAACTATTGTATTGGGACGGATGGAGTACAAAATATACATAGAAACCATTCAAAAATTCTACTCATATATATCTCTATATATGTGCGTATTCATGAAAATTTTGATGCAAAACAAATTATGTGCATATTTTAAAAAGATAAATTTATTCATATTTTTTGTAGTATGTTTAATATTTTAATTTGAATTTTTTTTTTTTTTTTTTGTAAACTGTTTTATTAGTTCGGTAACTGGATCCCTTATCATTTTAGTTTCGTAAGTGGAGCCTGTCGCAAACTAGTCCCATAAGTGAAAACTTTTCGCTGTTTTAGTCCTCCGACGTCGGAGATGCCCGCGTGGCTCGCCGGAAGTGGCGGACACGTTGATTTTTTATTTTTATTTTTCATTTTTTAATTTTTTTTAAAACTTATTTTTAATTTTATTTGTATTTTTTTTATTTTTTATTTGGTCCAATTAAAAAAAATAAAAAAATGAACAAATAAAAATAAATCAACGTGTCCGCCAGGTGTCGCTGACCTGGCGGGACACCTGGCGGACACGTCACGTCCGGCGAGCCATGCGGGCGTCTCCGGCGCCGGAGGACTAAAACAGCAAAAAATTTTCACTTATGAAACTAGTTTTCGACATGCTCCACTTAGAGAACTAAAATCATAAAGAGACTCAGTTACAGGACTAAAAAAACAGTTTACTTATTTTTTTTTTAATATAATGTACGAAAAATTGTATTAATAATATATTAAAAAATATTTTGTATTAAATTATTGACGAATATAATATAAATTTTATATATATTGAGAATATTTAGAAAAAAAATTTAATTGAAAAAGAAAAATCTATGACTGTATTTAGATTTAAGATAGAACCATTTCGGTCATTCGGCACTATTTGGCTTTGGAACTTTCCATCAAATGAATTTTTTAATCAAAATATTAATATATTTAATCGGTGAAGTCACACTATTATAATATATTTTATATTAATAATAAATATATATCATATATGCCTTGTATTATTATGATTTTTTGACATTAATAATAAATAATTTTTATTTTTTTGTATTATGTAAAATTTTATTTTTACAAAAATAAGATAGTATATTGATTATACTTATATATTTCACTTTACTTTATTTTTATCAAATATATTAATCAATATTTTATTTTCATATCATCAACCTTAATAGTATCATTTATTGTAGGGTAAACTGTCTTTTTAGTCCCGTAATTGGACCCCTTATTACTTTAGTCCTGTAAGTGGAATCTGTCGTAAACTAGTTTTATAAGTGGAAATTTTTTGTTGTTTTAATCCTCCGGCATCGGAGACGCCCGCGTGGCTCGCCGGAAGCCAGGTGTCCCGCCAGGTCAGTGATACATGACGAACACGTGGATTTTATTTTTTATTTTTTATTTTTTTTAATTTTTCAATTGGACCAAATACAAAAAATTAAAAAGACAAATAAAAATAAAAATAAAATCCACGTGACACGTGGCGGACACGTCTCCGGCGAGCAACACGGGCATCTCCGGCGCTGGAGAACTAAAACAATGAAAAATTTTCACTTATAAGATTAATTTACGACAGACTTCACTTACAGGACTAAAATGATGAGGAGGTCCAATTACGGGAATAAAAAATAATTTACCCTTTTATTATATAATATTGATAATAAAAAATTATTCAAAACAATTCAAATTCAAAAAAATCTTGTCTAAACGAACTACTATTAATTTGTAAAAAAATAAAAAACATCTTTACTTTCTTATGCTTACCTTTATAAGTATTTTATTACATATCAGGAAATTATTTAAGTTTTTAATAGATTCATGGGTTATTGCTAATTTTAATTAAAAAACTTGAATATCTTGTACGGGCTGCTTTTTTTTTTTTATAATGCCAATTAATTTATATATAATTAATGTGTTCTTATGAACCATCAAATTAAGAGTGAAAAAAAAAACATTAATAGTAGTTCGTTTTAAATTATATATAAATTATTAACAAATTAAAAAACAATTCTTATGAACCCTAAAAAATACATTTAGGGTGTGTTTGTTTGGGGGTTTGGATTTTGAGTTGAGATTTGAATAGTAAAAATTTTAAATTTGAATAGTTGTATGATGTGATATAAATAGGTGTTGATGTGATGTTTTGAATGTAAAATTGATCTTTAATATAATATAAAAAATGAAAAATAAGTGTTTGATTTGATGTTCTTGGGGGAGAAAATTGGATGAATAGTGTAAACTCAATCCAATCCCCCAAACAACCAGTGTTTCTTTAGGAGAATTTGAGAAAATTGGGGTATGAATTTGATTTTTATTTGAATTTTGAGGTGGGTTTGAAATTATATGTTTGTTTTGCATTTAGGTTTGTTTTGAGTTTAGAAAGTTTTGATGTGTATTGATTTGATGATTATGAATATAATAATATAAATGTGTATTAATTTGTGTAATTAAATTATAAATTTATATTATATCTACGTATATATTTCTAATTTTTTATTTATGTGTATTATAAAAAATTTTATTCTCTAAAAATAATACTCTATCCCTCTAGCTAGAAAATATATATATATATAATTTTTTGAGACGTCCAATTACAAAGTAAACATTTCATTAAATATTTCATTCTTTTATTAAATTTTACATGTTATAAAAATTTTAATTTATATTTATAATTTAAATTAAAAAAAAATTAGAAAAAAACAAAAAAACAAAAAGCATGTCAGACGCCACCTATCCTGGTATTTGCATATACTGCTAATTTATCAATTTACTTTTTTTGTATGTTAATATTTAAATATTAATTATTATATTAAAATATAGTATAAATTTAAGAAAAATAATAAAAATATTTTTATCATTGTCTTATAGTATTAATAAAATAATATTTACATAAAAAATTATACAAATATAAAAATATTTTTAATATTAAAAATAATAACGCCAAATATAAATGGATAAATTGCCGGTGACTAGAAATAATATTTATTTTAACGCAAAACTAACAAAATGGTGGAGAAAATAATTTAAAAAAAGTTCAGGATAGGCAATTCTCTCTCTTCCTTTCTCTCTCTATATATACGTGTATACTTGAGGAAGCCTTGGCTGTCCCATTAATTCTGCATATATATATATATATATAAAGCCAGCAAGGATTGAGCTATATTTTCTCCACAGCACAGCTTTCTTTCTGTTTCTCTCTGATCAGAGATTGTGGCCGGCAATGGCGGAAACCCTAGACGAAGAGCAGATTGTTGAGTTTCAGGAAGCCTTCCGTCTCTTCGACAAAGATGGAGATGGTCAGTCTATCTATCTATCTATATATATATCACTAATCAATTTCATATCTACTCTCTCTCTCTCTCTCTCTCTCTCTATATATATATATATATATATAAAATTTGGGTGTAATCTAATGTAATGTAATGAAATTAAGGTGCAGGTTGTATTACAGTGGAGGAACTGGCGACAGTGATAAGGTCGCTGGATCAGAATCCGACAGAAGAAGAGCTCCTCGACATGATGAACGAGTTCGATTCCGACGGCAATGGAACCATCGAATTCAACGAATTCCTCAACCTCATGGCCAACAAAATCAAGGCATCTCTCTCTCTCTCTCTCTCTCTCAACCAAATTAATTACATGTTCTTTTCTTTCTTAATTTGATTGTAATTTAATTTAATTAGGGTTAGGGTTTTGTAATTTTTATTTCAGGAAACTGATGGAGAAGAAGAGCTTAAAGAGGCTTTCAAAGTATTCGACAAGGATCAAAATGGATACATCTCAGCCACTGAGGTAATTAATTTATTTTATTTTATTTTATTAATTAAATACACATTACTAGCACTCACCACTTTCATTTATTTTATTTATTTAAAAGTATATTTTATATATTAATTTATCTATTTGTGAGATTTATTGATATATATATATATATTTATTTATTTATTGTGTTAATTCAACCAACCAAATGGATCAACTCGTGGATTCACAACACCCACTTGTTACTAAAATAATATTTCAATATTCTAACTTATCGTTTTAGGGATGATTTGATTATGTGTAACCGTAAGTAATGACTTGCTTCTTACCATTCCGATTCTTTGTTTTTTTTTTAAGAATTATTCTCTCCCTCTCACGTAATTTGTTTCTATTTTTTATTTTCGTCTGTCCCACGTAATTTATTTTTTACTTTTTTTGAAAAATTGATTATACATTTTAATATATTTTCAAATTTAATTTTAAAATTTTTTTAATTTTAATTAAACTATTTAGTTATCTTAATCTTAATCTATAATTACTTTTACTAATACATTTTTTTAATTACTTACTAATTATAGTTTACCTAAATTCTTATCGAGGACGGAGGGAGTATTATTTTTATTTTTAACTTTTTCAATTTTATATTCCCTCCGTCTCACATAATTTGTCCCTGTTTTCTATTTATTTTTGTCCGTCCCACATAAATTGTCTTTTCCTTTTTTGAAAAATTGATTATACATTTTAATCATATTTTAAAATTTAATTTTAATTAAACTATTTAATTATCTTAATCTTAATCTATAATTATTTTTATTCTTTTATAAAAATATTATGTTAAATAATTATTCAATTAAAAGTATACAAAAATCTAAAAGGAAAAAAAAAAAAAAAAAGTTCTAAATAACTGCTTGTTTATTGTTCATTTATTTAATACTGTATAAAATTTATTTAAAATTTTATAATAAAAATACTTTCCAAAGATGTATTTTAATTTATTAATATCTACATTAGATATCTATTTTTATGAAAAATATAATGTATTAAATAGATCTATTTTTAATAGTTGGTTTTCAATTCATATTTATTTCATGATACATATACAGTGAAATAAATATCAATTTATTTATTTTTTATTTAATATTATCTTTTTTTTTTTTTTCCAATGCGGTTATTTAAGAAAAGGAAAAAAGAGCTAAAAATTAATTTTTTAGAAAAATATTTAAGAAAATTTAGTAAAATTCAATAATTTCTGCTAAAACAAATTAAAATCTAAAAGTATAAATCAAAAAAACTACAAAAATTTTATTATTTTTTACACTATAACATAAAAAAAAAATTGAAAAATAAGGGAGCAAAATAATAAAAAAATATATAATTTTATTGTTTTTTACACTTAAAAATTTTTTTATATTTTAGGGGTTAACTGCCCTTAGTCCTTATGTAGTTCCGTATCTGTATATATATATATATATATATATGATTTCAATGTTAGTTAGATTATGAAACTCAATATGTGAAAAAAAAAAAACCTCTAAGAGGGTTCAATGCTCCTACATAAATATATTTATCCATCCTTTGTGTATCGATTTACATATTTTCGTACCATATCGAAGTATTTTTATTTAAAATTTTTTATTTATTTTAATTTTTAATTTTGCAACGCGACTTGCAGCTTCGTCACGTGATGATGAATTTAGGGGAAAAATTAACCGACGAGGAGGTGGAACAAATGATAGGAGAGGCAGATTTGGATGGCGATGGCCAAGTGAATTACGACGAATTTGTGAAGATGATGGCGACCATGGGATAGCTCGAGAGGATCACAACTTTGAAAAATAACGATTGCAGATATTCGTCTTAGAATAATTAAAACCCGGAAGATAATTATTGATTAAGATTTAAGATTGTCGAAATTAATTTCATTTGTGTTTGCTTAGTTCTTGAAAATGTTTTTATCTAGTTTATTTCATTTCATTAGTATTGTTCAATTTGTTACAGAAATAGGTTGGGTTTAATTAATTGTTGAACAAATATTTTGTATTCTTTTATTATTATTATTATTTTTTGTCTCGATTTATTACATTCGAAGCTTTTTTAATGAAAGAAGTCAACCTTTGTTAACATAGCTATATTTGCTACTCCCTCCAATTAAATTTATCTTTTGCGTCATTGTACTTAACAGTAAAAATATTTTTATATTTGTATAATTTTTTGTACAAATATTCTTCTATTAATATTATAAGACATTAATGAAAATATTTTTGTAATTTTTTTTTTAAAATTTGTATTACATTTTGATATAATAATTAATATTTAAAGATCAACACGCAATTGGTAAATCTCTTCCGATTTGAAGGCGTTTGAGGGATTTTAACTCACAATTTTGCATTTACAAGTTCATCCTTATATAATAGAGTTGACAAAAATAAATACGGTCCGAAAATTTGATCCGAATCCAGTATAAAAAAAAAAAAAAGAAATCGTATTTGGGCTTTAAAAATAGATCCGATTTTTTTTGAGTCATGCGTGCCCCGGCACATCAATAAACCGAGCTATGTCCGCGCCCATTAAAATTGAGTTGCGTTTGACCCATCCCGATTTATTAAAATGAGAATTTAATATTTAATATTTTACATGTATATTAACTAATTAAATAATGTCTAAAATCAAAACGTGGCTTCATGGTGAAATGCTAGTTGTACTTTACATTTGTAGGTTCAATTTCATAAGATCATTTCTTACAAAACTACACAATAACTATATATATATATATATTTTGATCGAAACAAATCTGATAAAATTTAATTTGAAAACTATTTTGATAGTTATTTAATTGAAAAAGATATGTAACTTCTCTCAGAATGGATCACTTATACAATTGAAAGAAGAAGCTTTAGAAAATCCTTGTAAATGGTCATGGAACAACTTAAATTCTTAACAAGAAATTTTATTCAAATTAGCATTTTGTTAAGATAAAAAATATATAGGGTTTGTTTAGATAAGAGGTTTTTTTTTTTGTTTTTTGGGAGGCTTTTGAAAATGTAGAAGTTTAGAAAAAGTAAAAAATTAGTATTAGTTTTGATGTTTTGTGAGAGAAAAAGTGTATTTGATGTGAGTTTTTTTAAAATTGAATAATACCAAATGAGTGAAAATGTATTTTATAAATAGAGCTATGGAATCCGACGACGAAGTCTGCATTTAAAGATGTGCTCGACTAAATTCATAATGTTACAATTTTCCAATTCTACAAAGCTCATATCTGTTCAAACCCAGTACACCAGAGACGGACTCAGCCCAATATTGCATACCGTTGGCCCAGACCCACCCCTTGACCCCTCGATTCGCTGACAGGGCAGCGAGATCCCCGTAAAAATTTACCGAAATGATAAACTAAATTTAAGGCATATCAAGTATCAACACAATCAATTGAAGCTAAAATTAATCAACAATTGAATATATTCGAAAACTAGTAAGGTTTTTTTTTTGGTTGAAGATTCACAAGTATAGAATTTGTTAGAATTATAAGGATCGAACACCAATTAATTCCCAAACAAAATCACGCAAGTCTTCTTATTTTTGTCCTACATGAATGATCTTCGTATTTTCTCTACAAGGATTATCTTTTGATGATGACGATAATAGCTTGAGAATTGTCAGTCTAAAAATATTTAGGTATGTGATGGCTAACTTCTTCTTTTTTTTTTTTTTTTTCCTGATGATTTGGAAATCCGCAGCCGTTACTCGAAAGTGCGCATTGAGTAAACCCCCGGACGAACCTAATACCCTGCAAATTAATTTTTTTTTTTTTTGGCTTGTGCATTTAGAGGTTTGTATCCGTCTTTTATATAGACAATAACACAAAGAATATTCCCTTGATCGTGTGAGATTAGATTTGTATCCAAATCAATGTAGACGTAATTTGTCTGATGTTTATGCACAATTTTTTTGGATGAATTTGTCGTGTTTCATATAATCTTCTCGTTGGTTGATATTCGGATAAGCCAAAATACAAACAAAACATGGTCCAATTTTTTACTTGCTTGTTCATTTTTTTTGTTCGAATAATCCTTGTGAGCTAACACTTTTTTAGTTTGTCTACGTCATTATTCGATGAGTAACAACATAATGCACAACATTCTAACAGAATAACTATACTTCAATATTCACCAAACTAGTATTCAGTTATATCGATATACTCTAGAAATTTTCCCATGAATTCACCAAATTTGAAATTATTACAAAGCTAACTCATTCAATTTTAGAGCTATTTACGATGAAACTAAAAAAAAGAAAAAAAAAAAAAAAAAGAAGAAGTTCGACATAATTTCAAACCCACCACAATACAATATCTTCCTAGCATTCATCGTGGAGTTGGAAAATTTACGAATCATATAATACTTCTGTGTACACAACCATTCTCGATTAGTTCCTCAAATGTCGTCTTTGTTGCCCTATTCGAGTTCTTGCCTAGTCGATTTTCCGGTTGATGTATATTTACTTCTTTCAACTTGAAAATTCTAATACTTCATCTTCACTTGTTAAATTTCCTTAAATTTATTTCTATCTTCTTAATTATAATTCTTGATTTTTTTCTATATTTCAATTCTACTTTTTCACGTTGGAAAATAACTTCGAGATATATATATATATATATAATTGCATGTTGAAAATTTATCAAATTGGGAACAGAATATCAATATCAAAATCGAAATTGAAATTTTTCTTTAAAAATAAATATAAATTTATCATTTTTTTTTTAAAAAAATATATATATATATATTCATTTAAACACTTGAAATAAATACTCTAGACTTTAAGTTACAGTCTGTCCCATAACTTATTCATATAATAATTATAGCCTGCATTAATGCAACTCATTAATAACCATACCGAACCAATCAATGCATGTCACAGAAGAAATAAATTAATTATATTTATTAAAATAAAAACTATAACACACCCTCCACATAACAATAATAAGGCCCATTTTTCACACTACTCAATATAAATTGGCCAACCAGCTAAGATAACAATCTTCATCACCTAAATTGGCAAAATTTTAGAACCCAAATATATATATATATATATATAGATATAAATAAAATTAGGTTCTTATAAGTACATACATCTACACATCAATGATTTTTTTTTTTTTTTTTTTTTTTTTTATATATATATATATTCTCAAAATCATCTAAGGCATGAAGATTTGATCTCCACACTTGCACCTCCACGCTTCAGGGTAGTACTCTAGCAGCAAATCGAATCCCGGCCGGACCGGGACGCGAACGGGCGTGCATGGCGCGCACTTCCCGCACTTGGATCTACAAGTCGGCGGCGAAGATCCTATGCTGTTGATTTTTTGCCATGTTTCCATTGTCGTCTCCTCTCTCATCTTCCTGGCGCAAATCTTCCTCGCTGCGCCAAAAACTTGTTGGTAAATTTGAAAACTCGATTGATCCACGATTAATTCCTAAATTGAAAATTAAATGGTTTACTCACCGAATTGGCGACTTGGGACGAAGCCAATAGTAGTGGAGATCGATCCGAGGAGAAGAAAAGTTACGGCGGCGAAAAAAAGTGTAAAGGGGCCGCGAAGTCGAGCCATTATTTTGAGGCGACGGAGAAATTAAAGGGATTGTGACGATGGAAGAAGCTAAGGGTGAATTATAAGGGTAAGTTGAGAGATGGGAGTGAGTTGAATGATGATAATATTATTGGTAGGGTGTGAATGATGAGTGAGTTAATGAGCGAGTCGAGAGCGAGCGAAGTAGCGCGAGTCAAAGAGACATGAACATTATTACATTGTAGTAACATGGAGGGTGTGTGGTAATGAGTGTTGTTTAGATGCGGGTTTATTTAGGGAAAGTTGTCGATATGTCGAAGAATATGTACATATTTTATAAGATTTATGAGATAATTTCATGTTGTTATAGTCGTGTAATTAGCTTTAATTACTTCGTTTTTAAGTGAGAAATGTAAGTGAATAGTTGTAATTGAGGATTAGTGTGACCGAACTAAAATTTGTTACTATCGTACGGTAAACTTTAGTAAATAGTCGAAGATTTATAGGGGTAATTTGTTTAGTTATGTTTTCAATCAATTTTTTCATTGTATATTTGTAATAACTTGTTTTTTTTTCTTTTTTTTTTTTTTTTTTTTTTTTTCTAAAAAGATCATATTAAATATATATTTATATCATATTAATATATCTATTTTAATTATAAGTTTTTAAGATTAATAAAACAAGACAAACAAAAGTACTAACCATAAAGAGAATGTTACAATAAAAATCTACAAAAGTGTGTTTGGACATTGATAGAGTACAAAAGCTTTAGTCAAAAAGTTGGATTCCAACAAGATTGGAATGCTTTCTAAAAATACTAACCAAAAAAAAAAATTCTTGTATAAGGAATCTTTTTGTGATTTGCATAAAATAGAATAAAAATAGAATAAAAATAGAATCAAGAAAGAATCCGAGAAATATTATTTCAATACTGATATATATGTATAAATATATGTTGGTCACCCCTATAATATATATTGACTGGGTCAAATCAGCATCATGCTGACTTAACCGGATCAGTAGTAGATCAATGCCCAATATTATTGTTATTATATGTTTGATATTACCAAAACCACAATCTTATATCCACATTACTAATATCTAAATAATAATTTAGAAGTCTACTAATAAAAAAAAATAAAAAATTAATATTATAATTACAAGAAATGCAAATGTATACTCCAAATATATAATAACATAATCAAACAACTTTCAAGATTATAGGTGGCGTCTAAAAGCTACTATCCACAAAAGGGATTGATAATCCAAAGTTAAATTGGGAATATTTTTCCTCAATTTAACAAATTATTTAAAATAAAAAATAAATAAATTTCTTGATGAGTACTATTTTTTCAAGATGTGAGAATTTACCGTCGTTATTTCCCGAATATACGTTGAGTAAATCCTTGTGTCGAACATAATAACATGTAAATTACACCCAAAAAATAAGTTATACTATGCAAATCTATATAGCAGACAAAACCAAGATGCGTCGGGGATTTTGATAGTTTTGAACCATGTACTAGTTTTGAATAAAAACATCTTTGACACAAATCTAGCTAGAATCAAATCTATTACAATGTCTGTTTCAATTTCTCTACTATGTTGTAATTAATGTACATGGGTTGCCCCTAAATGTGAAAAATAAGAAATTATATTGCTATAAAATAATATATGTTGAGTTATAATATAATATATATTATATTATAAATATACTAAATATATGTTGGTCATCCTTATAACATATGCTCATTCGGTCAAACTCAATATTAATAATAAAAAGTGCTCTCTCCATTCAGGATGCTAATGCCATTTTTTTTTTTTTTTTAACTTTTATATAGATTAAAAAATAATGATATTTTATTTTAAAAGTGATGTATATAAAAAAATTAAAAAAATATAGTGTGATAAGTAGAAAAAAAACAGTGAAAAACTGGCTATAAGTGTTAAAAGTAAAAGTAACAAAAGTTTAAATAATTAAAATTATTTTTTATAAATAAATTATGTATAAATTTAACCAACAACTAAAAAAAAAATCTAACATAATAATAGCAGATGAAAAATATATAATTATTAATCATAAATACAAGCACAATTAAAATGATTTTTTTTAAAATAATTTGTTACTGTCAATAAATATATACTTTTTTAAAATATAAATACCTAAAGTGTAATATTTTTATATATTAAATAAAAATTTGTATAAATATATTATAAAAGAACTTGAAAATAAATCTAATTAGACCTTGCACAGTCAGACTGTAATCCCTAAATGGGCCGTCGTCCATTGGGCCTAGTGAAGCCCAATAATTGATATATACCTCAATTAAATTATTTTTCTTGTCTCGTACATTTTAATTACCGATTAATAGGTTATTCGACATTTCTAATCAAATTATATAAATTACTTATGTTTCAATAACCCTGTCCATTTGTGTGTATTTGTTACTTTCTTTTTTAAAAAAAATTATAAAATTTAATCTCATTTAAATTTTTTAATTTATAAATTATTTATATTAATTTTAATTTTTAATTATTTTTATTATACGATAATTATTTTCAATACTTTTTTAAATTCATGTATTTACACTAAAATTAGAGCCGGTAAAAACTGACCAGACACGATAACCCGACACGAACTCGACACAAAATAATTGAGTTTGGGTTAAAGATTTCAACCTGATTATGTATACGGGTTGACACGAACTTGACACGATAATAAATAGGTCGGATTAAGGTTGAGGCTCTCAACTCGAACCCGACACGACAACTCGATTATAATATATTAGTATTGATTAATATATTTATTATACATGTAAAATAATCATAATTTAATAATTTTCTCATAAATTAATTTAAACTAAGTTAAATTTTAAATAATTTAATATAATTTATGCTCAAACCAATAAAAACTAACATAACACGACAAAAAATAATTTAATTTGAATTAAAGATTTCGACTTAATTATGTATACGGGTCAACACAAGTCAACCCGAACCCGGCACGATAATAAACGGGTCAACACGAACCCGATACGATAATAAACGAGTTGAGTTATAATTGAATAATTTAACCCGTTTAAAGTATTCAACTCGACACGAATCGATCCATTAGCAGCTCTAACTAAAATAGACATCGTAGCCGCGACGGAGGAAGTATTTTTTTTCGATTAAAACCTTGAAATTTTTAATGGACTAATCAATTTTGACTTGGGCTTAAGTATCTGTCTCTTGGGTTGGGCCTTTTTCTCCATTAGACTTTGATATGTGTTGTCTTTTATTGGCTTGACTTCTACAAGGGTTTGTTTGTATCTATTTCGGTTTAGGGTTTCCTTTTTTTTTAAAAAAAAAAATTATTATTTAAATTTAATTTATAAAGTATTTTGATAAAATGATTTACGAAAAAAATATTGTATTTTTGTTATTAATATTATAATAATTATATGGTAGAAAATAAAAATAAAATGGAGGATTAGCATTAAATAAACATATCTCATTGGGTTTGAGTTTGATTTCTATTTGAATTTTAGAGTGAGTTTGAATTTACGTGTTTCTTTTGTGTTTGAGTTTGGAGAGTTTTGATATGTATTGATTTGATAGTAATGAATATAATAATATAAATGTGTATTAATTTATATAATTTGATTATAATTTTATTTTATATCTACATATATATTTATAAATTTTTATTTATTTGTATTATAAAAAAATTTATTTTATACAAAATGGCATATATATATTATATATATTTTATTGAATTATAATATTGTAAAATTTTAATTTGAATAATTAAAAAAAAGAAAAAGAAAAAAGAAAAATCAAACCACGAGGCGCTTGCAATTGTCTCAATTTATTGTCTCCCAAATTGAGACAAGCTTGGTCTGGGAGTTTTACTGTGCAAACAGTATTTCCTATATTCATATTTTTAGAAGGTGTGATGTATTAGTTTATGTACTTTCCATTTTTTTGGAATTTTATAATAAATTAAGAAATAATTTTATTATATTAATTAGTAGAAGTGTGTAATATGTATTTGATAATTTGTTATTTGATTTTATATATAAAGTAATTGTACGTAATTTAAGTTAAATTAATGTTATTTTGGTATTGATGTCTGATTATTTTTCTTAAAATAAAAAAATGAGTATGATATAGTAAAAATAGTAAAAATAGTACTTTGATTTGGAACGAAATGAGTATTATATTAGGCGGCAATTAGGGTGCTGACTGGATCAAATCAATATTATGCTGATTTGATCAAGATAGCACACTAATTTGAAATAATTAGTATTTCATCACATGATACACACCATATGATTAAGTTAGAACAATGAGCATTTTCGAGTAGCGGCTGCGGGTTCCCACGTCCTAGAAATAAAATAGTTAAAACACTAACTTGAAACAATTGGGTAAACTATTTTTTTTAGTCCAGTAACTGGATCCCCTTATCATTTTAGTCCCGTAAGTGGAGTCTGTCGCAAACTAGTCCCATAAGTGAAAAATTTTTCGCTGTTTTAGTCCTCCGGCGCCGGAGACGCCCGCGTGGCTCGCCGGAGGTGACGTGTCCGCCAGGTGTCCGGCCAGGTCAGTGACACCTGGCGGACACGTGGATTTATTTATTTTTTCAATTTTTTTTTTAATTTCTTTTAAATTAAATCAAATTAAAAATTAAAAATATATAAATAAAATTAAAAATAAATTTAAAATAAGTTTTAAAAAAATTTTAAAAAATATAAAATAAAATAAAAAAATCCACGTGTCCGCCAGGTCAGCGCCAAGTGTCGCTGACCTGGCGGACATGTCACCTCCGGCGAGCTACGCGGGTATCTCCGGCGCCGGAGAACTAAAACAACGAAAATTTTTCACTTATGGGACTAGTTTGCGACATGCTCCACTTACGGGACTAAAATGATAAGGGGATCCAGTTACGGGACTAAAAAAATAGTTTACCCTGAAACAATTTAACATTTCATCACAAGACATATAGAATATCTTGTATTATATAGAAACATGTGTTTTGTTTGTTATATTTTGTGCTGAAA